GTCTGGACTCTCATTCTGACGGCACCCATTCACTGAAGAGGATCCATTTGTGAGCAAGTGATGTAACGCTACAGCTCTCCAAATCTGTTCTGATGAAGAAACAAATTCATCTACGTCTTGGATGTGCTTCAATAAATCATTTTATGTCAAAAACTTGAAAAATCAATACAAACACAGTTAATTAAAAAAAATAATAATAAAGAAAAAAATACTTTTACAACCTATACTATCAATTTATGCATACTACAAGATATCCAAAAATGGCTGTATATAAATACTTTAGTATATCAATTTTTTTGTGATTAAAACGTCACCTCCAGCTGCGAAAGAGCGTAGCCAGTAGTAGGAGTCTTTCTGGACAGGAGCTGGGATCTGAGCCCGAGTCCCTGTGGATACAGCCTCTGTCGTCATGATGGCTGCTGTCAGGACTGCAGTACATTCATGTCTTCAGCACACTCTGGAATGGAGGAAACAAACATGTGCATTGATATTATTATGCCTCAAATGATCGGTGACATGGGCTGGAATCTGCACACATTAAAGTCATGAGTCATAAACAGTTGGGCAGCGTTGTAAATGTATTACTTAACGAGTCCTTGGTTTGGGGAAATGTTAACAGATTCAGTTCACTAAACTAGAAACACAAACCAAATCATATACCGGTGCCATCCATATAAGTAGTCAAAAACTACCATGGTAAATGTCCAGAAAACATGCCACTTTTGCTACTTTCTTTTTAGTGCGTAATTTTCTGGTCTGTTTTCAACCATCCATATTACACCAGACAGATTTCATTCCACATGCAATTTACACTGAACTATTTGCATCATTCACAAACAGAGTTTTCAGCAGCTCTGGCCTGAATTCTTGGAAACAGATCAAACGAGTCCTGGTTCAAATCAAGGCCATGGGCTGCACAACTGGATATGGACCTGTGTGATCCTGAAGCTGTCAGCTCGAACTGTTATAAACACTGCGTGAATACTGTACGTCAACGACGACGGAACTGTTCGCGCTACATTAGATCCATGCGTATTTAGTTCTTTGTATTTAAACAGTGCACTTACAAAACACAAATCAAAGATCAGGAATACACTTTTTCAGGTGTTTTTCAGCAGTTCCGTGCATATCGTGTCCTCCACTGATTCGTTTCCTGTCGCAGAATTAGCACGTAATTGCGTGTCAACGAGCCGCACCGCAGCATTTCATTTTGTGATGTTTTTAACATTCATCTACATTGCATTCATTTATCAGGCATAGCAAGATAAAATATCACATGTGATTTTTGGCAATACTGTGCATTGCAGGTTTTTTTTATTATCATTGAGATGTGAAATTAAAATTAATTTACGTTAATCATGATGATGATTTCGATTGTTGTTGATTGCATTCATCTGATTTTTTGTTTTAGGAATTATTGTCTATATATGAAAACTGCATAATAGCATAATAATAATCTATTGTAATAATGTATTATTATTATTATTATAAGGCACAATAGTTGCCTCACAATAATAATAATAATAATAATAATAATAA